GTTCTAATAAAAGGCTACATTTCTGAAATGTTGTATAAATTTTTTTAGAATTATCAAATTTTTGGTGGCAATCTTCCCTCAAAAACTTATACACTAAAAAACAAATATTTTTCTCTAAACATTATTAATATATATAAAAAAAAATATTTTTCTAACACAGGAATTTAAAAATAAAAAATTTCAATTAAACAGAAAATAAAAAATTATATATATATATATATATATATATATATATATATATATATATATATATATATATATATATATATATATATATATATATATATATATATTAAAAAAATATTCATTAAACAAAAAATAAAAAAATTTCTAACACAGGAATTTAAAATATTTTTCATTACTAGTCCTCTCAATTATTGCCACGTCTTATTACAAAAAAAAGAAAAAAAAAGAAAAAGAAACAGATAAGGAATATTAAAAAGAATAGAAAATAAAAAAAGAAAAAGAAACATAAGGAAAACAAAAAAGAATAGAAAATAAAAAAAAAAGAAAAAGAAACAGATAAGGAATATTAAAAAGAATAGAAAATAAAAAAAAGAAAAAGAAACCGATAATGAAAACAAAAGCAGCAGCGCTCTCCAACTTCTTTTTCATTCACACATTTTGCCGAACTTAGCCGCGCTCTCAGACGCTCCGTCCTTCATCCGCTCCGAGTCAAACCTCTTTCGTTCACACCCTCCGCCGTGTTCTTCGTCACTCCGTCCAACTGCCACGCCGTGTTCGTCGTCCACGTCGTCGTCCGTTCGTCGTTCGCCGTCCAACTGCTTTCGTCCATGTCATCCGCCGTCCACGTCGTCCAAGTCGTCCGCTGTGTTTGTATGTATTTCTGCATTTATATTTCGATCTCCATTTCGTATCGTTGTATTTGAGTTGAATCTGAGTGTTTTGATGGTTGTTTGAGTTTGTGTGGACATTTTCATATTTGTTGTTGATATAAGAAGTTGACTAGTAGTATTATCTTTTGCAGCATACTGCCAAGTGCCACTAGTAGTAGTACTACCTTTTCTTGAATTGAAATTAATTATATGAAATTGTTTTTTAGGAGTAGTAAATTTATTTTGTTATTTGCTGGCAGGCTTCTGAAGTTTAAATTGATGCTTTACTAAATCTTTTTACATGCTCTATGATGACATTGATGTCCTTTTGAATGAACTTGCACAAATATAATGCATTCTACATTCCCCTGATAACATCATTTATTTACTTGCTTCAGAAACTGGAAGATTGCAATAGTTTCATCTAGTCCACTTATCTTCTTAGGATTTTTTCGTCTTGTTACAACAACTGGTGTGGATTATCAGGTGGGATTATTTTCATTGAGATTCTTAGAAACTGTGTCAACAAACATTTTGACATGCATTTAATAATACTGCATCTTATTTAGCTAGCTTATACAAGCATAATCACCGACATCTTTTTGAAAATTTTGATGTTATATGATGTAGTTCTCAAAGACTATAATAAACCCCTATGATTTGTAAACCTATAGACTCTGATGCCGAGCATGATTGGGTGAGTGAGGCTTTTTTTGGCAGAAACGATTCACAGAGTTGAAACTCTGAAATTTCATCTTGACACTGTACTATGCAGAACAATTCACAAGCTTTAGACATAGAAGCTATAAGAGTTTAGACTATGAAATTTGAGAAATGCTCGAGTAATTAGCACTCAGCAGGCTTAGATTTATTTACACTTTCATAATTGATTACGTTATATCTTTACTAGCAATCTCTGACGCTGTTTCAAATGTATCATTTGAAAAGGGTTGCATAAGTGGAAATAACATTGGAACCGTAAAATCTACATACTTTTTAAATAAACGGAGAAGAATAAACGGAGAAGATTGGAACCGTAAAATCTACATACTCTAAAATCTACATACTTTTTAAGAAGAATGGTTATGTCAAAGTATTCAAAATTTTCCTTATGCATATTATGTACATTGTTTGACTCATCAACGACAACGCGCTCTTGCATAAGTAGTATTAGTAGTTAATGTTCATATGTTTTTTCTCAAAACTTGAACATGGTTTTTAATGTTGTGTGTTCTTGTTAAGTGAATGATGAGTAACTACTTACTTATGCAATTGAAAAATTGTGGGTTTGGTTTCAAATGATGAGATTAAGACTATAAGGGGAGCTAATCAAATTGCCACCTTATAGATACTAGTGTCTGGAGATATTGAGATAGAGTTCTCAACTCATTATGTAGCTTTAAGTTTTAACGCATGCATAATGAAACACTTCAGTTCTTGGAAGGTTTATGTTTTTCAAGTGTTAAAACATATGAATAATAAAAAAGAGAGGCCATGCTGAGGTTTTTTCTTGAAAGATAAATGGTTACTTGTGGGATAGTTAGTGCCTCGTGATCAAGAGTCTCATTTAACATCTAAGATTGTTTGTGTTTTAATTGCATAATTCAGTAATTCAAGTAATTCTTATGAAGCCATGAATATGCTTTCCATCTCATTCTTTACAAATTGAGTTATAATTGTCTAATTCATGATGTTTTCAAGGAAGCAAGTAACCATTTTCCTTCTAATAGGTCCATACGAGTGAATATGGTGTGCATTGGAATTTTTCTTCACGCTTGCTGCAATCTCAATTCTTACATCCTTTATTAATATCCCCCCAAAATATTCTGGAGTTTTTGGATCACTTGTCCCAGTAGGTACTTTTTTTCTCTTCTTTCTGTCTCAACCTAATGTCATGTATTTTGAAATCTGATTCCTTATAAAATTCAATCTATGTTTCAAAGGTTACCAGTTCAGTTTGATGCATGGTTTAAACCATTACTTGCTTTCTAGTGAAAGAGGAATGGATATCATAAGTCAAAACAAGGAGGGGATAAGATTATGGGACCCCCTTGTTTGATAACACTCACTATGTATGCTGTAAATTTATCCATATGATACTGAACACCAAAGAAGATACAACAAGTAAGAGTGTTCATCAGAGTTCATTTACTCCAAAAAATAAACATAAAAGGATAGCACAAGTTATACATACATACATACAGTTAAAGGCTATTGTAAATCCTGAATAGTGAGCCAAAAATAGAATGGTTTTCATAATTGATTTATTTGCTAGTAAGCTCATGTCACCTATTACAGTTTAGAACGAAAATTCACATCCATTAAAAACCTTCATAATTAATTCACATCCATGAGATGTGAAGAATATAAACAATGTGTTTTGCTCATTGGTTTAGTTTTTATTTGTGCGAGGTTTAATTCTTGTTGATGTCTTAATTGTCCTTTGGACCAAAAATATTTATGGTTAATGTGTTTTATTTTATTTTCTTATGCATCAATGTATCAATGAAGATGTTGAAAAGGACGATATAAATGACGAAATTCAAGAGGACGACATAAATGATAAAATTCAAGAGGACGACCTAAATGATAAAATTCAAGAGGACGACGTAGATGACGAATTTCAAGAGAACGACATAGATCTAGATGATGAATTTGAAGAGGAGGATATAGATGGTGAATTTCAAGAGGACGACGTAGATGAAGAATTTATGGAGGATGACATATCTAACGAATTTCAAGAGGACAATCTGGATGCTTTACTCCTAGAAGACAAACTTGAATGAGTTGGATGATATCTTTTTTTTGGCTTGTAGTTGAAAGCATTAAACTTGAAATATGATTTTTGTTCTTTTGCTGAACTATGTTTTTAGTTATTTTACTAGGGTCATACTTCAAAGTATTAAAAGTAATATTGTTACGTTAGGCATTTTGTGTACTCTATATACTATATCTTGAATTAAAGTTTGAACTCGATTTTATTATATTACAACTTTTATGGATGTATGGTTTAAGTTATATAATCAATATTATTTTTGAAGCCAATTATTATTGACTATATTATTTTGATAATAATTGCAAAATTGTATATTTTATGTGGACACTATAAAACAACAACCTATAAGCTATGGCTACACTTCAAAAACGATCTTCTTGATTCAGGTTTAAGGCAACGATTGTTAATTGTAGCCGAATTTGGCAACGCAACGCTTAAAAAACATTGTCTCAGAGGCCGTAAATAATCGTCCCCTATTCCTTTACTATAGGCGACGTTTTTCAAAAGCGTTCCCAAAAAACATAAAAAAAACGTCGCCTCAAACAATAGGCAACGCTTGCACAGGAGACGCCTAGAAAACGTCCCCTATTGTTTTAGGCAACGATTTTCAGAGTTCTGGCAACGTTTTTCAATTGTTGCTGGAGAGCCTAAATGTTGTAGTGTGTTAAATTACATCTAAACTAATTTAAGTGTAAACTAAATTCATTATAAAATTACTAATTTAATCTAAACTATATTAATAATAAAATTACTAACTTAAATCTAAACTAAATTAATTCTAAAATTAAACTAATAATTTATCTAATTAACTATAACATGATCGTTTGTTTGACATTTAGAAAAAAATTAAACTAAGGAATTAGGATAATGAAGTTAAGAAAATTATGAAACTAAACTAATAAAATGTGGGGTGTCAAGCAAAAATGGAGTGGTAGAGTTGAAATTCGACGGGCTTTAGTGATTGAAGATTGAAGCCTAATACAACATTATTGTTAGCAATATAAATAAATAAAAGGGTGGTATAGAAACAATCTAGGTTGGGTTGGACTGGGTTGTGTGGCCTTACGCCCAACTACAAAAACTTAAACAAAAATAAATACCTAATGCTCATGAAATGAATAACCGCTCCACACTTTCTCTTTCACGATAATTTTGTATTCTTCTGTGTTCTTCTTTCATCATGTCTCTCTATCCACAACAAAAATACATCCTCCGCTCACCTCTCCATTTTGTTTCTAATTTCACGAGCAGCAACAACGAATATAGCTTCTCAACTTTTCGTGTTTAATTTCTCACCGTTTTCATAAAGAACAACAACAAAATAGATTGAAAAGAAAAAATTGGAGATTTCAAAAGCGCGAGAGAGAAAAGAGGAAATACCGATCTGAATGCTTTTGGATATGAAGAAAATTCCAGGTAAATCCTTCTTCACTGGCTTGGTTATCTTAGTTGTGATTTCTGCTTCCTTGAGCGTGTGTTGTGATTTGAATGAATGAGAGACAAATGTGTATGGTTGTTCAGAGGTTTTGACAGAAAATTAAGAAATTGAAATTGGAATAAGCAGAGAGATTTTTTGGTGTTCTTTGGGATTTTTCGGTTTTCTGCAGGGTATTGGAGAGGGAAGTTAGTGATTCATGGTGATATGAAGTGGGGTGTATGGAGTGTTGCAGGAAGTTTTCGATTGAAGGAATTTTAGCAGAGGTTTCAACGGCTTCTCTGTTTTTGATTGAGATGCTTGTGTATTGAACAACAGTTACTGGTAGTTTTAGTAGAGGTTTCAAAGGCTTCTCTGTTTTTTGATTGAGATGCTTGGTGTATTGAACAGCAATTGAAGGTATGTTTTTTGTGATATTTTTATCTTGTGTATTTGAATAAAGTCGATAATATTTTATTTCTGTGAGATCCTCCTCAAATTTTCTATGGTTTTTCTCACGATGTTTTTGGCGTATTTGGACGGAATTTTTTGTAGTAATTGATGTATATCATTCTTTGTGATATCTCCTCCTTTTTATAGTCATAGTGAAGTAAAATTGGGAGGGAAAATTTGAACATAAGCAGTACCCTGTTTCATTTTTTTATGCAAATATTGTTTTGCTAAACTTATGAAAATATTGAACTGACATGATGCAGGTTTGGACAGCAAGGGATAGGCATTATTTCTCATATTGCAGCAGCTTTTTTTGTAGTCTTATGGACTGTATTTTGACTATTTTTGCAGGGACTGTTTTGGAGCATGAAGCAGGATGGAGTGAGACAAGGCATTAAGTTGTATTGTACTGGTTTGATGCAGTTTGTCTGGGCAGCAAGACAGTAGCAGGGTGCAAGGTGTTTTGGACAACATTCTCACTTTTTTTTTGACAATTTATGTACATAAATATGTATGTTTGTTTTTTTTGTTGTTTTATGATAGGTTTTGGACAACAAGCTTGGAGAAATTTCAAAGATGTGAGAACAAGCTTTGGCAATTGTTTTAGTCAATAAAGTTTAGGTTTATGGGACTTGACCTTGTGTAATTCCTTTTTAATGATGAATGAAATATCTTGGCACTTGAAATGAATTTTCTTGAATGTATCTTGAGGTTTGTAAACTTCAAACGATATTTGAATGAAGTCTCTTTATTTTTGCTCAAAAGTTCCAAAGAATTATGGAATAGTCTTATTGTTTGAATGAAAATGCGACCTTGAAGCTTTAAATGAATTTGTCCCTTTGATAAAGGAAATAAATGAAAATTCACAAGTCTTGTTTACTACTTGAATTTTTCTTGAATGATAAGACTTTTCTTGCAAATAAAAACCATGATGAATGCTTTCTTTTGGCACAACAATTCTTTTGTATCTTGAACTTCTAGAAATTCTCATAAACCTTCTTCCCACCTTTGTGTGCTTAAATTGGTCTTGAGGAATAAACTACATGCCTTAAGAACTTTGATAAACAATGGGTTATGCATTTTTATAAATTGAATCAATTATAATACATGTCTCAAATTTATCCACATGAATGGAGTTTGAATCTAGGAGTTAAGAACATTCCAAGTTGAGAAATGACATAACGATTCACTAACTTTCAAGGTCTTATAAGCACAATTTGATCTCGACTTTTGAATAAAGCTTGTAGATGACATCAATTATGACAATGTACCAAAAGAATCGTCTCAGCATGTTAAAAATTAAGGAAGTTACGATCTTCGAAAGTCTGACGACAGTTACTTGAAATTAAGTCAAAGTCGCAAAAGGACCTCTAAAGTATTTGAAATTTTGAGGGTCTTCTGCACATAATCGACTCTTGACTTGTAAATAGAAGTTGGAGATGTAGATGATGTCATGGATAATCATTCGCTCAAAGAATCACTCAAAAATGTTGAATATCAAAGAATTTATGACCTTCTGAACTTTATCTTGAAAATGTTGACTTCTTGGTCGAGGTGCTTTGAATCGTCTCACATAGCCTGATATTTTATGGTGCTCCAAGGCATATTAATGCACTTGTGAACCAGTGATGATGAAATCTTGTCTATGATTTGAGGAAGTTTTGGAGAAGCTTGAGACCACTTGTCGAACAAGGCGTGGAAGTAAACACACGATCCTCTGAAGTTCCATAGGACATCTTTGATTAAAATGAGATTGAACGATGCTTGAGACTTTATACTCTGAGATTAGAGGTTGTGCCTTGATGAATCAGTCTACGAGAATCCACAATCAATCGTGCTTCTGGATGGGGAGACTCAAAACCCTAATTGAGGCGCGACGCCTGATGCTCTTGATTCAGACTTGTCTTTGCATATGAAACAAAAGAAAACAAGAACATACACCTTTGTATGCGATTAGAAGTTAATGATACATAGGATAAAAATGTTCAAAACACCTGAAAATCTCTGCATAGAAAATGCTCGAAGGTGAGACGTTAAAACGATCATATTTTGTGACCTTGACTTTTGTATAAATGCAAATGAAAATGGGATCTAAGGTCAAAATTGGGGTATGACACCAAGAATCTGGTCATAAGCCACAAACTAGTCTCAGTTTCTTCTTAATCAAGTCTTCCACTTGAAAAGGATAAAATAAAAACTTCCCCGCGAGAATTTTCTAAAGAGATATTGTTTGCTGAGTAAACCTCCCCAAGAACCTGGTCATAAGCCACGAACTGGTCTCAGTTTCTTCTTAATCAAGTCTTCCACTGGAGAAGGATAAATACAAACATCCCCATGAACCTGGTTATAAGCCACAAACTGGTCTCAATTTCTGATGATAAACCTCCCCAAGAACCTAGTCACAAGCCATGAACTTGTCTCAGTTTCTTCTTAATCAAGTCTTCCACCTGATAAGGATAATATACAAACTTCTCTGCTAGACTTTTCCAAAGAGATGTTGTTTGCTGAGTAAACCTCCCCAAGAACCTGGTCATAAGCCACGAATTCGTCTCTGTTTCTTCTTAATCAAGTCTTCCACTTGAAAAGGATCAAATACAAACTTCCCCACGGGACTTTTCTGAAGAGATGTCATTTGCTGAGTAAAACTCCCCAAGAACCTGGTCATAAGCCACGAACTGGTCTTAGTTTCTTCTTAATCAAGTCTTTCACTTGAAAAGGATAAAATACAAACTTCCCCACAAACTTGGTCATAAGCCACGAACTGGTCTCAGTTTCTGATAATAAACCTCCCCAAGAACATGGTCACAATCCATAAACTGGTATCAGTTTCTTATTAATCAAGTCTTCCACCTGATAAGGATAATATACAAACTTCTCCGCGAGACTTTCGCGAAGATATTCCGTTTGCAGAGTAAACCTCCCTAAGAACCTGGTCATAAGCCATGAACTGGTCTCAGTTTCTTCTTAATCAAGTCTTCAACTTGAAAAGGATAATATACAAACATCCTCACGATACATTTCCGAAGAGATTCCATTTGCTGAGTAAACCTCCCCAAAAACCTGGTCATAAGCCATGAACTGGTTTCATTTTCTTCTTAATAAAGTCTTCCACTTGAAAAGGATAATATACAAACTTTCCCATGGGACTTTTCCGAAGGGATGTAGTTTGCTGAGTAAACCTCTCCAAGAACCTAGTCATAAGCCACGAACAGGTCTCAGATTCTTCTTAATCAAGTCTTCAACTTAAAAAGGATAGTATACAAACTTCCCCATGACAATTTTTCAAAGAGATGTCGTTTTCTGAGTAAACCTCCCCACGAACATGGTCACAAGCCACGAACTGGTCTTAGTTTCTTCTTAATCAAGTCTTCCACTTGAAAAGGATAATATACAAACTTCCCCATGGGACTTTTTCAAAGAGATGTCATTTGATGAGTAAACCTCCCCATGAACCTGGTCATAAGCCATAAGTTGGTCTCAATTTCTTCTTAATCTAGTCTTCCACTTGATAAGGGTAAAATACAAACTTCTCTATGGGACTTTTCCGAAGACATTTCGTTTGCTGAGTAAACCTCCCCAAGAACCTGGTCATAAGCCACGAACGGGTCTCAATTTCTTATTAATCAAGTCTTCCACTTGATAAGGGTAATATACAAACTTGTCTATGGGACTTTTCCGAAGAGATGCCATTTGTTAAAATATCAGAGTTGATATGTTGGAGATAGACAAACTGCTCATGAAGAGACTACCATTTTCCATAAGATAAAAGTATGCTTGAAATACACAAGCTGCTTAAATAAAGACGCCGCCACTTGCTGCTAGGCAAAATATAGTGTTTTAAAGACACTATTGGGAATTAGAATCAATGACTTCATCGGAGATAGACAAACTGCTCCTAAAGAGACCTCCATTTTCCATAAAAGAGGAAATCCATAAATAATCAGCTGCTCAAATAAAGAGTCTGCCACTTATTGTTATTTTGAGATTCCAAAAGAGTGTTGCAACAACACTACTGGGAAACAAAGTTCATCTTTACTGGAAACCATAAATAGATTCTACCTGAGGAGACAAAAGTATTTACAGGCGCAAAATAAACGCACTATCCCTCAAGGTTTCACATCCTAGAGAAATCCGCAGGGTAACATCTGCAAGAGACGAAGCTCAATCCAAAAACAAACTGGAGAGAAACAGTTAAACAAGACCTCTACCTGTTGAGGAATAATCTCAGTTGGGAGTTATCCTATCGTGAGACGGAAAAGAAGGCTAAAATAATAACTCTTCCACGAGGAATAAACTCCGTGGGGAATTAGAAAGGATCTACACTAATGATAGGCTAAGATTGACCTGTTGGAAAGAAGAAATACGCTATTTATGGATAAACACAACCAAAGTAGATCGACCTAAAAACATCAAGAAATGCGAATGCGCATGAATGATGTAAGTGTGAATGAATAAATGAATGTCATGTATATGCTGACAAAACTAACAAATAGATAAACTGGGGATGATAAGGCATCACAGTACAAACAGATACTCGACTAATCTCAACGAGATGTGAACATTACTGGTGATAGAAAGAGCATATTACTGCTATAAGGCTCTAATCTCTCCGGAGGGGAATATAATTTTCAATAGAAAATCCAAAGTCCAATCTTCTAACATCAATAATCCATTAAAAGGATAACAACATAAACTTTGCTGCAGTTGGAGAAAAATCTTTCTTAGTTGGAACTACTGGGGAACACCACCATCTGATAATGTGTGCAAAACAGGTCACATTTCTTGACAAATCTAGATTTCCTATAAAACTACTTTTGGATGCCCCAAGCTTACTGCTGATAAACTGCATGATGCGCGACAATTCTTGCGAATAACTTCACTCCTTAAATTCCTCAAGTTACATGGTTTACGAGAAGAAATCATCTCAAGAGGATTTTACAAAAGACATGGCATCTAAAATGCCCCAATGTCTTCAAACTCTTGGAGATATTCATTGAATCTTGACGTGACTTCCCCAAATTGGATGTATTTGGGAAAATAGATTCTTTAAATATGCTTCATGAGGGTAATCAAACTATAAAGGCAGTAACCTGTTCACATTGTAGGTCTTCAGGTGACATGTCCTTGGCTAAGATAAATCTTAGAAATAATTCTCCAATTACTTAACAAAGTTTCAGACCTCAAAATATTTGGTGTCCACCCCCTTCACTATGTTCTTCAGTCCTATATTCAGTTAATTTGATACTAGTGTTCATTTCTCAGAAAAAGATTTTGTGGTGGTCAAGGAAGTGATATGGCTTCCAGAGTAGCAGTCACCCTTCTTGTGTTTATAATCACACGAATTTTTTATTTGCTAAGTACTTTTCTTTGTTATCCTTTCTTTGCAAAATTTTTAATTTCCCTAACTTTTGCCTGAACTAATTCTTTTGAATTGATAGTCCAGCGGGATGCCCTGACTTTTGCCTAAGCGACTTGTTTTTTCAGGTTCCTACTTAGCGGGGCTTTTTGTCTCTTTCTTTTTCATCATTTTTTATTCATTTCATTTTTATTTCCTTTTGAACATGTCGCGTGACTTTGAGTCATTTTTTGACTTGTTAGCAGAATTGTGACTGCC